GTAAATACTGATAAATACTGAATAGGAGAAAACGGGAGAAATTAATGAGAGTTGTATAATAAATTGGAGTCCATGCATTGGAAATTAAATAAATCTTGACCATAACTTTCCATAACTTTCATTTCCATGGTGACATCAGTTCTCAAGAATGATAAAAATGTCACGAAATGTGTTGAAATGTGGATCGACATAAAATACGAAATTCCCGAAAGAGGGATCGAGAATGTCGAAGGATCGAGGATAGGGAGAGTGTCGATAGCGCGTGTGTCGCGCCACCCTAAAAAAGATACGCTCCCACACTTTTATTATTACTTTTTTTTTTTTTAATCGATATTTAATATAACTCTATATTATCCGTCAACTTTTATTTATTATATATATATTTTTATATATTATATATTATAAAATTTAACTCCAAATTGCGATAATAACGTCTAATTGCAACGTGCGTGCGCGTGTACGTGTTGCGCCTTTGTGTGTGTGTCTGTTTTGCATTTTTATTTCTTTAACTCTCTCACTTTCTCTCCCATCACTTTCTCTCCTCCATTCGTTTCGTTTTTTTCTTACTTTTTTTTTGTTATTATTTTTTTTTCTTGTTTCTCTTAACCGTCCCCTCGGTTATCTTCGACGTGTAATCGTGTAATTGTGTTCGGTGTTCCTGTGTGTGTATGCGTGTCGTATGTGTGTACGTGTGTTTGTACGCAGTGTACACATGGGTGGGTGGTTGGTGGGTGAACGATTACAGGTGGTAATGTATCTTGCACTCGCGCGTACGTGACTGTGTACGTGTTTTATCTACAGTTAAACGAATTCTACGCACTTACTCGTTAATCGGCAGAATAATATGCATTTCTTAATTTCGCTATAAGTATTATTTAAACCGTCCGAAAACGTGTCAGTCGGCGCACCGTGACGGATTCGCCATCGCTCTCGTCGAGCCCTCTTCTTGTCCCATTTTTCCCTTCTTTCTACCCCCAATCCACCCTTATGCGATATACCCGCAACCCTCTCGCTCGCTTATTCGTCATTTTCACCCCCAAGTTCTCTCTCTCGCTCCAGCTCTCACCCCTCGCGTCGAGAAAAATATTTTTCTCGACGCTAATCGTTCGTCTACGCTATTTCCTCCCCTCGTGTCTCTCCCCTGTGCTCCCCCTCCCTCCCGGTTCTTCTCGATACGTCGCTCGACTCCTTCGATGGATTAGAAGTGATGATTAAAAACTGAAATCCCTGAAGCGACAACACGTCCAAGGATCGTCGACGATAACGCGACCAGCGATAGAAACATTCGATTCTACACGCGAGACGAATCCTCCTTCCCCCGTCCCTCTGGTATGTGTAAAAAAAATAGTCGATAGTACCGTGGATCGATCGGCTCCCGCTTCAGGGATAAAGCGTCACGCTAAATTACAATAAGAGAAGAGAATAAGAGTTCTTTTTCTCGTTCGAGCCGCGGACGATACTTTACGGTGAAAACTTATCTAAAAAACGTTTGTACGTTTCTATCGGCTACGGTCACGCTACGCGGTCTGCTAAGCTGCGCTAAAAATCGTGGGGGGACACTTTACTGTAAAGTATCGGCCAAGCTCGCGGTGCGCTACAAAAAACTCGAACTTAGCGTTAAAACTCGGCTAAATCGACGTTCTCGAGAGCTGGCGTTCGAGCGCGCGCAGAAGGAACGGTATAGTTGAATAGGTGGCACGCGTTGCCTCGTACAACGCGGGAAATTTCATTGATCTTTGTCGCGTGGATAATCGATCCGTATTTATCACCGTGTTCGTGAATTACCAATTGACGTGTCTATCATCCGCGGAGTCAAATTTTCGAATACCCAACAACTCCGACGGATTTGTCCAGATTTAGCCTCAGGTTCTTCTGTATCGTTTAGTCGATTTTATTCGTTTGAAATTGATGAAAGTCTGTATTCAACTATACCTTCTCCCGCCAATCGACACGACAGTTCGTACAATCCGGATCTCGACGGGCACGGAACGGATCGAGCCGCGAAGAACGTCGCGACGCAAACCAACACCCACGGGGAATCTGCGACGAAAAAACAGGGCTTCCCCGTGTCTCGAGAGAGCGATCCTCGGAGCAAACGGAGCTAGAAACTCGTAATCCATATAGAAAGTCGAAAACGCCGGGAATTCCTCCCCTAAAAACAACGCGCCGCCCTCGAATCACTTTCGTACTCTAAGCGTCTAACGATAAATCGCCAACAATATCGGTCGGTCCGCCTCGGTTCGTCTCGCGCTAGAACCGGGCGAGCCCTACGCAACTAACTAATGTGTTTAACCGTGGAATCGTTGATCGCGTACAAAAAACGGACTTAACAGCGAAGTGAAACACGCGGCCGCGACAAACGACGTCTCTCGAAAGGGGAAACTATTGGTCGTTGATCGTCATGACGTTGATCGGAATCCACGAAGTGTCTTCTCACGGTTCGAGGAGTCAACCGACGCGATTTTCGACGAAATTCGTCGCTGAGAGCTTCCCATTCGCTTTAGAGATAAGCAAAATTTTATGGAAATAAATGGTACAAGGAATGAAACTAAGTTGGAGTGATTTATTATTTCCGAAGGGGTAGATTATTTCAGTATTTCAATTATTTCAATCTATAGCTCTGAGTTTTCTTTTGAGAGTAACAAGTTGGTTGGTATTTGTGATTTATTCTAGATATAAATCAATTTTGTGCTCATCTCTGTTCGAGTAGTCCTTCGCAGCGAGGAAAGTGTTTTTCCAACGAAACGCTCTGTTTCACTCCTTGAAAAGGGATTAGTATTTTGAGAAGTGATTTCTTGGGGTAGATTTAATTCTTTGCGCCGTTAGTGTTGTTTATAGAATTTCTAGTTCCTCTTGAGTTCATTTTATGAAGCTCACGCGATGATTACAGAGAGGGCTTAGACGACACTTGGTAATAAGCGAGTACAGTATTTTCTAGATTAATGTTTACGTTGCTAGAATCTCCTTAGTTGTAGAGGAAAATGGAACCGGGGTACGGAACGATAGCGCAAACGATTAAATCTGGTGTCTTCGAATACGATGATCGAGTATTAATCCCATAATTAGTCAATTCGATGCGTTGACTGCTTAGAAACACAGTGTAGATCTAAAAGTGTACAGACATTTAATTAGAATTTTATTATTATCAAAACGATGAGATCCTCGTATAATGTCAAATATGTCTTTACCTAAATAATTTTCAATCATTTTTGACCAGCATTTCGGAAACTATTTCCTTAATTTCTTAATGAAACAGGCACTATTTACTTAAACATGAAGCCAATTTCAATAAATCATTTTAATTTGAAAGAAAATTTTCAATGAATATTCTTCGAGCGATAGATGAGTTATATAGAATCCATTTGTAGCTATTACTGTATTACAACGATCAGATTTATCATTTAAAAACTCTATCATTAATTTATTTCCAATTAAATCAAAATTCTACAGCAAAGCAACGCATCGAAAATGAAGAGTGAAACAATTCGTGCAAGGAGCGTTCGCAGTATCGAATCGATTTATATCGTCGAAGATCGCATTGGCGTAGGCCCGTCCTATACGCGTAGATGATCGGCTCATCAGCATCCGGCCGACGAAAGCGAGGAAAGCCGGTAACGGTGCGTAAAAAACGCTTCGAGAGGCTTTTTATTTTCACCGCGGGCGATGGATATTATTATTTAGTTAAGAAGTACGTGGTTTACGTATAAAGAGACGCGTCATACAGTGCCGTACAGTACCAAAACGTTTATAATGCGCACATAATTGTTACCCTCGATTAAACCTCTAACTACGCGCTCGCGCAGGCTCGTGTATGTAAAAGTATCGTTAGTCGTTTAGTCTCGCTGCGGGTGTGTGTATATCGTGTGTGTGTATACGTGTGCCAGTGTTCATTTTCACGTGTTGCCTCCGTGAGCCGGCCAGACCCCGGTCCAGGGACAAAAATTCGGTTTATCTTTTCGTTTTCACTTGTTTCGTTTCGTACCTGGCGTACGAGTTCTCTTTTTGTTTCCCTAACGTTTTCTTCTTTTGTGTTCACTTTTTTTTCTCGCTGTGCTTTGCCATTTTTTTTTTATTTGTTTTTTTTTTTCTTAGGGGATGATGGTGGCGGTGGTGGCGGTGGTGGGTGAGTCTCTTAAATTCCATTTTAAGCGCGCGGGGACCGTCGAATCGTGGTCGTCCCGTCGTGGCACGTGCTAGTTTTTCTTTTTTTTTTTTTGTCGCCCTTTTAATATTTGTATACAATGTATTTCCTCGTATGTACGTGTGTGAATGTGTATGTGTGTTTTTGTGTGTTTTTATACATATACAGTCTAAAGTAGCTCAGAGGGAACTATGCGAACCACTACTCGCGAAGTTGGACGTGTCAGTCCCTTCGTCGACGCTATTTCATCGGGTTATATTCACTTTTTTTTTTTGCACCGTTTTTGCGTTTAAATGTTATTCCGGTATCTATGTCGCGTTGCGACGGGTCCGACCATAATTCATCCGTACACGCCAGTCCCCCGTTGTATAGAGATATATATATTATATATATGTATACTATATACGTGTGTGCACATATGCGTCGTCCGTGGACCGTTCTGGCAGGGCCCTTTAACCACATTTTTTTGCTTTACTTTAATTAATACAATATATACTTTTTTTTTATGTATGTATCGTAACAACCGATATTCTCAGTTTCCTCTCGCTCTCTCTCTCTCTCTCTCTCCCTGTCTCTCACTCCGTCCCTTACGCTCGTTCTCGCGCACTTTCGTCTCTCGTATATTTCACTACTATCACACGCAGACCTCCTTTCGCTCGCCTATTCAATTTTATTTACCTGTCGCCTCGTCTCTCTTTCATGCGATTATCGTTTCTTACTCTAACAACTCGCACAAGACGCACTCGCTCCCTCTCTCGCTCGCAGGTTTTAATTTTCTCGCACGCTCACTCTCGCGCACACTCGCTCACACACGCACACACTCTCTCTCTCTCTCTCTCTTTCTCTCTCTCTCTCTATATATATATATATATAATATATTTTATATCTGTGTGTATATATATATGTATGTATATATATATACTTCTATATATCTTTCATATATACTTTATGTTGCTTTTTTTTATGTATACTTTATATATATATAACAATGTTATGTTTATTTAAGGCCCAATACGTTCATTACGAAGGAAATAATCTGCAACAGAAAGGAGACGAATATACGGTTAAACGCTTGTACCTCTTTTGCTCCCTGTCGTAAGCACCGCGAGTAATAGAACTATTCAGTCAATGACGAGTCGTGTGTTTGCTTTTCGATTAATATTTTCCTCCCTCCGCTGCGGCGTCACCCGCGGACGCGACGTCTCGTCGATCGAGGCCAAAAGAACGCAAGTAGATGGCTCCCGGCATGGTCAGACCAAGTGGAACGTATCCTTCACCTCGAGGAGTTTACAGGAATTTGTTCGTCGGTGAAACCTTAATTTCGAGTCGAATCGGCTCCATTGGGCGACGATTCTTTAACGATTCATCTTTTTTTCACTGTGGATATCGCGACTGACGATTCTTTCCTGCTGAATCGAATCTCATTAGCAAGGATTAACCGCCTAACGTACGAGAGTCTATTCGTGACTCTATCGCATTCTTCTATCGATTTGAATTAAAGATGAAAATGTCACTGAATAAACTCATCGAATGACTTAAAAATTCGTGAGTATTTTTAATTCTAGGTTTAGGGAGATTTCTTATCAGTAGATTCCAGACCTTTATGCCAATTCATATTTTCACAGATACAGAAAGAGAATTGAAACTCGAATGAAAGTGTGTTTTACTTTCTAAACGGTATAACGTGTACGCTATTGTTGATACTATATATATTTTTGTGTCATATATTCATGCTTCAATATTTCGACTTGCTATAGTTGCAAAAACATTCGCAGTCTACTTATCAGACTTCTATTACTAACGTAATGCTTCCACGAGTGAAGTCAATTTATTCAAACTAATTAGAAGTCTCAGGCAAAAGTAAATTTGAATAAATGCTCTTTATACGTATAAAAATCAGCACAAGTGGTTACATACTCAACACAACTCCGTAAACCTAGCGTTATCGTTAAACGACAACTTCGAACAGAAAAACGAACGTTAAACGGTTAAGACGATCGGTAATTTTGCATTAAATTTTTCCATGAATCCCCATCGGTGCACAAATAATTTCTTTTGTCATTCAGTGTTTTCGTACGTTTTTATTTGTGTTCTTCTGGTTTAGTTTGAGATAATGAAAGGCTATTGCAAACGGTCCCGCGATCATCCATTACCGTTCTGATTGCCTCGACACACGTCCGTTCCCCTACGCTTTTTGTCGCATTTTTTCTCCTACGATCCTGCTGTGTTTTTCGCACGCGCTCCGCTCGACGCTCCCTAGGAAGGAATCGCTCTGTATAAGAAACAAGTAACTTTCGACGCTTAGAAAACATGTAACTCGACGCGGTTACGGGACGCCATTCGGCACGTACCGATCTCAAGAATTGCCTACCGGGTTCTTAGACGGAAAACCCATATTCGATGACCCGACGAATCGATCCGGAAACGACATTCTCGTCTTCGGATCAGTTTTACGCGATTATTTTATACAATATGTACATGTCACATTTTGTACAATATGTACTTTTGTGCAGCTCCACGCTAAAACCAAAACTGCGTAATAATTGGTACGCGATTAGGATAAAATTCGATATTGGAACGAGTTCGATCGAGATTAAAAGAACCTTGTATTTTTCCTACAGACCTTCATAGGTTAGGCTTTATTATTATTTTTCTCTTTACAAAAGTCGCACTAAGGGGACATTTAAATTATGTAATTTTTATTTCCGATACGCAACGATAAATTGGATCGAACGTCGAGAACCTAGGGGTAACGTTTAACATTTACCTTGGAAAATTTTAAGCTGCGAATAAATTAAGCGTTATCCTCGATGAGAACCACGAATAATAATAACCGAGCGCCTAAGAACCCGGTAGACTGTTCTTCCCGCGTCGTTTCGTGTTTCGTCGCTCGAAAACCCCGGTTTCCTCGAGCGAACCCTGTATTTTTCTCTCAGAAACTCCCCCCGAAAAAAAAAAGGTAACTTTCACTTAACGAGTACGACTAATAACCATTGCAGAAAGAAAGAAAAAAAAAACAAATAAAACTTAACACGAATTATCCTATCGCATTTTGTACACGTGAAAGAGAGAAAAGAAGAACGAAAGCTTTCAAAAACGAAACGAAAAAGAAAAATAGAATAATCAAAAAGGAAAAAAAAAATAAAATATATTATGATAATCGTAATAATAATAAGAATTATAATAGTAACAGTAATAGTAATAATAATATTAATATTAATAATAATAGTACTAGTAACGCAGTTTCTGACCGAAAAAAGTACAAGTTACGCGCTTTCCGTACGAACGAAAACGAAAAGCGATCAAAAAGGAGTTAGACGATGATTAACTTACAACAATTGCGGCTACCAAGATGAGAAGCGAAGTGACAGTTACTTGTTTCCCCGCTGGTTAGGCGGCTCATCGGAGCCGTTTTCCGCTCGCGCGTTATTTTAAGATCCGTAACATCGAGCTCAGACAAAGTCTGGGGGCAATCGTTGAAAATCGGGTTGCGCAGGTCTTACAGATAAGAGTAAGATTTCATTATCTCGGTTATGAAACGGGTCTGCGCTATCGTCATACATTTTCGTAAATATATATAGACGACGACGACTACGACACGACGAACGGAATATTATGTACAATACTGCGCGACCTAACGGCAACCGTCTTTGCGTCGAGATGTTCGATTGCTCGCGTATCGATGGGCTGCGATCGTTCGAGGATCTTAAGTCGTGCCGAGTCGAAGGGCTCGAAGGAAGATCGTGCAAGCGACGAGCGAGAAACGGAATCTCCCATAAGAATTACGAAAACAAAGAAGCCGCTTGGCTCTAATCGAGGTGGATTCCCTTTGTACTTAAAAGTAACACGTGGAATTACCCTCTATCGAATTCGAGTTCATGGTACGGTACAGAAACTATTTTCTCGATAACGTGGGCTGGATTATTAATAAAAGAATCTGGAGGATTTTATGTCCTCCGTAAGAAAGCGTCCAAATCCTATCAAATTTCTTCAACGTAATTCGCTAAAAGGTTTCGCATGCGATAGAGGGTTAAAATTCTGTTTAATCGTATACAGTAACGAAACAGCGACGTCCATAAATTAAAAATCCTTGTATTGAAGGACGAACTCACATCGTTTCACGTTCGGATCGTGAATGTTCGGTTAAAGCTAATAGAGACGAAAGTACGTAAGCATAATAGTACGACAAAAGAACAGCGCGCTCGTGGCTGTGAATTTCTAAGAACGAACGGAAAAACGTAAACGAAAACGACAAGCTCGTTCGTCGCACGCACAATGTTCATCGCGCCCTTCGACGTTTCGATCGGCCCTAAGCACGCCTAAGCGACACTTCCTAGGTAGCGTCGACGCGACCATCACCGTCATCGACGCGGATCGCCTTCTCCGATCGTTTCCTTTCCGGACGGTGGAACTCACCTTGACAGAGCAAGGCCCGGCGCTACTCGCGTACCGCTTTGTTCGTCAGCGTCGGGACGCCCTGCGCCGCGTCGATCGTTCAGCTGTCGACGCTGAAAAGCTCTTTGTGGAGGGCCGGAAAGTCGAGGTGCGGCTGCGACCGTTTCAGCTTGGCGAGGGCGTCCATGTGCAGCAGAGAGATCTCTCGCAGCTGGGGGATCTTCGCCAGGATCGCGTCGCACACCGTCACGTCGCCTTTTATCGGCGACACGTGATTACGGTCGAGTTCCGACCTCAGCGCCCTGATTACCGCCTGTGACAGTCTCGTGATTTCCGCCAGTCCTTTCAGTCCCGGCCGATCTGAAATATTTTTTCATCTTTTTATTTTTTACTTGTTTTCTTTATACGAATGTTTACTGATGGCGGAGGGGATGAGGGGGTATGAGACACTGGTTCGAAGATTCGTAGGATCGAATCGATTTGAATAGGATTTGTCAGGGGAGAGTATTGATAGTTATCACTGCGGTTACAGTTCTCAATTATTGAGGCTCTGCTCAGGTAGGTGAATGTGGATATCTATGAGGAAGACTTTGGTTTTATGGTCTTGAATCTTGTACAGATAGGTGTGTAGAAGCCTGTAAGGGTGAATGTCTGATTGTGTTGTTAAACTCATGTCATTAGCGAATTAAATCCATACTAATATTATTAATGCGAAAGTAACTGTCTCTTTGTTTGTTACCGTTTCACGCCTGAATTGCTGAACAGATTTCGATAAAAATTGGCAACGAGATAGATTCCATCCTGATGAAGGACAGAGACTATATTTTATTTCGATAAAAATAAGGTTTCAGTTCGAAATTTGAATATTTGTACATAAAGAATCAGAAATATCGATTGAAACTTCTCTTACGGAAAACAAAAGACAGTCACTGACTGTTTCACGAAGGTTGAACTGTCAGTCGAACGCAAACGACATAAAATAAATAGTATTCCACGTGGGTGAAAGCGCGAGGTGCAACTAGTATTTTATATTTTATATTCCATTAACTGTATTAATCTGGCTTTCAAACTCCGCTATTTATCTAATATTCTTCCCCTCTTTGCACAGCCTCAATAATCTTAATGATTTCTTTTTATACCTAACGAATTGACTTCGTCCCGATTATCGTCAAAGGCAATCGACCACGGAAGAGAGGATTTCTTTTAACTCTGAGAACGGAACAGTTCAACAGGTCGTAATTGTATTTGTTTTGCGTAATCGGATACTACCGCTTCTCTTTTACTTGAAAGTACTCTCCGTTGCTTTCCAGTGATTACTAGATACATATCTGTAACGATGTCACCGACTAATTGTAAGTGGTTTACATAAATTGGTTGCATCTTCGCTGCATGAAATTCTAGGGAGGTTTACATATTTACACTGGAGATATAAGTTTGAAGTTGGGATCGTTATGCATTCAAAACAATTGTTTGATATTAATGAATATAAATGCCAGTTGCCATATTCTTTATGTTTTTGAAAATATTGACAAGCACAAAGTTTATGTCTGTAGTTTTCGATAACTTGAACATTTTATCGTCGGTTTTTGTGAGTGGAGTACGCTGCCATGAATTCTTCTATGAATGTATGATTTTAATGGCTTAGAGGAAAATGAAATGGTTAAAAATGTTACAAACCGGGACTAAACAGAACCGCTGCGCTGTAAAGCGCCAGCTCCGTTTCCGTGAGCTTCAATTCGGCAATACTCCTGGCCAATTCGAACACGCAAGAAACGAGCTTCATTTCCGCCGTGTCCGTCGTATAAAACGCGTCCTGTGGCAACATAGTGTCACCGTAGAGGACACAATTCTGCTGAAGATCAAGGTACCTGCTCATACGTAGCACAGCCAACTCGAAGGAACCTGCGAACATCGCCAGAAACCGTTAATTATGTCGTGGGACCAACACAAACTATAATTTATAATAATATATAATTTTGAATATTAATAATTCTAATTTATTAATATTCAAGATAACCGCTAGCTGTTGCTTGGAAATATTAAATAGAAATAATAAATGTCTTATCACGACTGCATTCAACGTTATTAATTTTGCTGAAATACTTTATAGTATATAATTGCTCTGATTTTAATTTAAAAAGTGTTTGAATGTAGAGAATGGAAGCTATTTTATAACAATTCTAAGTAATTTGGCAAATTGAATATACAGGGTGACTCAGTGCTGCCGAAATATTTCTGAGAGGGTAACAAACCCAAAAAATCTTTTTAATAAAATATTCAATTTGGAAAATATTTAAATAACGTATATTGCTGTATATTTCAACTAATTAATGGGTGAATATCAGATACGTTTACGTAGGTCTCCATTCAATTTGGGTTTAGTTTCATCGCAACTTTGCACACGGTGTTTAAACTTCGTAGAAACTGAACCTCCCAACGGAGGAGTTCTCAATGGCTACGTACGTGGAATTATAATTTTATCTGTTCGTCTGTCACAATTTTTTCCTTCCAGATAAGACACGCGAATGCATGTTTATTCAGCTCGAGCGCTATTTACACCATTTCACACGCGCGCAATTAAAATTTACTTTTGCATAATGCCTGTTTACGAAACTGATCCTTTTATTTCACTGATAACGCAATTTCGCGAGAGAAAGAAATGGAGAATAGCAAAGTCCACGATCTCACAAAGAAAAAAAGTATTAGGCAAGAGCAATAACGAAGTTATCGAAGAAAATATCCCTTCTGTTTTAAATAATACAAACTATAATTGTGTTACGGTTATTTAACAATTTTCCCTTATTGAACTTTGACCGAGGTTACCAACCAGCCTTTAATAGAACAATCTGGTCGTCCTGGGAGAGCTTCATGAATCCAGGAACCATCTTGGCGAACTCGATGATCTGCTGGATAACGGTGGTTAGTTTTTGGGCGCACTCGAGCCACAGCTGCTCGTGCGCCATGTTCTTGTAGTAGATCAATCTGGAGAGGTCGTGGGGCTTCCGGAAAGACTCCTGGATCTCTTCCGTCGACAGCAGACACGTTCTTGCGTGTGCATCCGCTATCGTTTTTGAGAGTAGCTCGCTGATCTGTGCAGGATCTACGAAAGCCAATCGAGATGTCCGGTTGAAATGTTGTCCTTCTCCGGTAACACGGAGCAAGATGTTCGAACAATACGTACAACTAGTTTCTCTACACTTTGTAACGGCTACGTGTATCATCGTCAACGAATTAAAACACAGAAGAAATTGACAGCTCTTTAAACACATATATTGTATAACGATTTATTTTAAATTAGGGAGCGCAAACACGTAAGCGACAGAGATCATTAAAAAGAAAGAACACTGTAGCGGGTTCGTATCAGCGTTGGGCAACGTGTAATCCATGGTTATGATTACTATGCGATTAGGAGAAACATATATTAAATGCAGCCAAAATGTATGCATCAAGTTAAATTATTTTATTATTAAATAATACAAATTTTAGATTTACTCCTAAGAGTAAAAACAAGCGAATTCCTTATTTTCCGGCTTGGAGTAAATGACGTTGACCTACCTATACCAGAAGGAATTTCTTTTTATGCTCACGAGTAAATCTGATTAATTATCTTATTCCGAATGAAGTTGTTCATATGACATAAGTGCATAAAATTACCAGTCCAGTAATCACTAACCATGATTGATAATTGCTGTGTAATCAGTAATCACAGTTAATGATTCACGATTAACTCTGGAAGATTACAAATGGCTGAATTGTAACTGTAGATTACAATTATAGTTAGCGGTTACCGATTAATCAGCTGTGAGTGATCATTAGAAAAGTAATCATAAAATAATCACTGCCCAACTCTGGTTCGTCTCTTGGCATTGCAATCGTATGCACGTATAATTCTCGCTTGAGTTAGAAATGCAACGAGTCAAAATGCGAGAGCACGTTTTCCAAGACAAGATTAGGCGGGCCAATGTGGACCATCGAGACCCAACATCTCTGGGTTCGTTGTAAATTTCTGTAATTACCGTCATTTTCGAGCTACGTTATCGCCACTGTGACTAGACCCATTTCACTTCAACTTTCAAGTCGCCGAACGTTAAACGACCTTCGCTTCGACCCGACAAATCTGTGCACAGGAATTCAAACTCCTCCGCTCGATCCTTCTACCAAGCTTCTCAAAAGTTTCGTCAAAGCACCGATCAAAGTCACTTCAACGTTACGTCATGCTGGTTCACTTATGCTCTTCGTAGTTGAGCGAAAAGTTTCATTTATCCACTAGACTCTAGATACCGTGCTGGTTTATTCGTGCTTTTCGTAATTTGACAGCAATATTAAGCAAAATGTGATACATTATTGTGGTTACTGATTAATTTGACAGTTTGATGGTTTTGGTGTCAATATTAGGAACTATATTAAGTAAATATATACAGTTAGTCCCATAGATATTCGTTCCTTCTATGCTCATTGAAGAAATTAGTCCAAATTAAATGATAGGTTTGATATTTCCATATCAATTGTTCACTATAAGTATATACACGCGTTCGGTTTATTCGTGTACATATTCATAATGCAACATTTATTTGGAAATATTAAGCTTACCATTTAAGTTAGACAAATACGTTCAATAGAGACAGAGGGTACGAATAGTTATGGGACTGACTGTATTTCTAGTACTTTCGTATGTTAACTTCTACTATAAACAAATTGATGCTTCTAACGTAAATGTCGTAGTGGATGAATTCAAAGGGAAACAATGAATTTAGAACTTTCAAAAATAAATTATTATCATGACATCACTTATCCAACTCTTCGACTCCCATAGTATCAAAGACATTCGAGCTACAAAACTCGCAAATCATCCCACATTCCATCACCTCCCACAACTTTTGGAAGACCCCGAGGTGCCAGCACGCTATCGAACCTCCACTCGTTCAAACGTCGTACCCTTTCACTGTTCCACCCACGTTCCCCCGGGGGTCCCCGTCCACGGAAAACGTGCTCCCTCACCGCCCAATGATCGTAAAAAAACAGAGCCTCGACAACACCGAACTCCATACGCGACGCAGGAGGTTGAGAAGAACAAAAAAGAAAAAAAAATGAAGAAAAAAAATATCTTGAAAGAGAAAAAGCGCGCTGCATGCCCATGCAAAGGGACACAAACGTAACCTCACATCTCGCATGGGACATACTGGGCAGACTCGGCACTTCGTCGTCCTCGGATGGATTGCTGACCCTCTGTTGCTGACTGCTCAGAAAGGTCGTCGAGTCGACCATCGTGTACGAGCCATGGCCCAGGCTGGCGAGTTCGACGGTGGTCTCTTGCTTCACAGCAACGATTCCACCCCCGCTCAAAGAACCGGCACCGCCGCCCCCGCCGCCGGTGGCGGTCGCACCACCAGCGGTGCCAGAACCGCTCCCTCCACCACCCGAGCCACCACCACCGGATCCACCACCGTTACCACCGCCACCACCGCCTCCGCTACTACCTCCACCACTACCACCCGTGCTGCTTCCGGTCGTCGATGCGGACAGCGACTTTCCTGGTGTACGCGAAAAGTCAGAGTTCAGACTCGGGTCCCTTTTTCTTTCTTTTCGCGCTTTTCCGTGTTTTTCTTTTTTTTTTTTTTCTTAGCTTGCTCTTATACTTTCTTTATCCTTCTCTTCGCGCTCGCAAACGCGGGGCGACTTCGAGTTCTGATCGAATGGAAGAGGGTTTGGTTTAAGTTCATAAGGAGATCGATTTTGGGGGAGTGGGATTCTTATTCGAATAGGAATTCATCTGTTTATCTGTTGCTGAATTTAAATTTGGATTGGAATTGTAGGATTGAATATTTTGTAATTCGAGATTGAAATTTATGAGGAGTTGTAAACTTCGTTGCTGCTTGATTGAGTATGTGGATGTAGTAGCAGGTGCCAATTGTAGTATACGTTATTTTATAATTAAAGTTTTCTCTGTACTGTGAAGTACAAGAACTGCCCTCTTTAATAATACACTAAACAGTTGTCTTGAGGGACAGTGAAACGATACTGGACTTGGTCCTATCGCTAGTGGTAGATGCTTAACGGATGATGAAGCTATAGTCGATGCGAGGGAGTTACGGAAAATCAGAGGACTGTCTTGTGTCTGTCGTGCGATATGTTCATGAATCCGAATGATCGTCATTACGGAAAGACTGAATTTAACTTGATACGAACCAAAGTGTTGCAACTTTATTTTCGTTCGTCAATTTAAAGTTACTCACATTGCGAGTCCACGGAGGCCACTTGCATCGATCACTTCAATGATCCCTATCATTTCTATAATGTTCGCGAGTGAAAATTAATTTCCGGCGCAATAGATAAATAAATGAAGTAGATAAATGTGTATCGGTAAGAATAGTAGTTAATCGAGAAATTTACGTAATGATTCTTCGCTCAACGGGACGCTTGCCACAACATCAGCTCGCTTCTCAAATGGCAACTCAATCGTATCTTTATGACTGTTAATGTTACTTCATGCTACAGTATCAATATCATTCACCGAATGCACCGTGCAGTCAACTGGCAGTGATAAACACAGTAATTGTATCAGCCGCGTGGCACTGAAAGGGACCAGTACTACTTGGCGCTGGTTGTTCATCGATTGACATCTTGTTACCGCTCCTTCGCTAACAATAAACTTTAATGGAACTATAAACTCTCGAGTTGGCACAGCCTCAGTTTCGCCCTGGCAACCGTGTAATTTCATATTCCATTCCATCGAAATTGAAAATGTACATGGCAAGAAATTTAGGGACTATGGTGGCTATATACACGATCGAGACATAAAACATTTTCTGCAAGCTGATTTATAGAGCCTCCGTTTCGTGGCAATGTTTCGCATCAGACATTGAAATATATATTTTGCAGCAAGACGACGAAGCATCTCTTGTATTTTAATACGGTTAATTAATTGAGCGGAAATGTATTTTTGTGCTTGATAAAACATTTATCGAATGGTGTCGAGCTTGCTAACACGTATTTTATATTCACTGACATTGCATGGAAAATTATTACATCAAATTTTAACCCACACGGAACGAAAATAATTTTGTGTTGTGTCTGAGAGTGTTCTATTGGATCGAAAACTTTTATGTATTAATTTGTCCTATGATGTCAAGAATTTGTGGAATATTTTTCGACAAGAAATTTTGGTTTAAATTTTTGTTAGTTCGATTATTATTGTTCATGGTTACCATCGTCACACTGTCTTATTTACATCAGAAATCAAAATGAATTGTTAGTGTGTCGTGTATATTCTCAGAAACGTATCAAAGTACAAATACCAGGACAAATTTTACTATTCGGTACTTTTTTAAATTCGCCAAGCGGACGAGAGTTTTCATCAGGAGAACAGATTAACATGAAGCAGGAGGCACGTGAAAGTTAAGTCAATAATACGAGGAATGAAATGGCCAAATGGTCTCCAAACTTTGATCACCTTTGCTCCTCTTATTATTTAAAATTCCTTTCACTTCCTAGCATGTAATATTTACTTATGGTACCACTGGACCTTTCAATCCCTCATACTGTAACGATAAATACGGATTTGTGTTAACTTTTACCCAAAGACAAGGCCCTCGAAACCGTATAAAAATTAACCTGTACGTGTCCTTTCACCAGAGAGATAGGAGGAGAAGAAAACAGAAAGCCACCCCGGTGATTTCTTTAATTTCTTTTTGTTTTTTCAATATTTTATAGACGTTCTTTGGAGGGAGTACTCACCGGTGGTGACCACGCTGGGAAGTACCCCAGTCGCGGTGACAGCGGAGGGCGTATCAGGGGCGACAGTGTCCGCGACCTGCGTCTGCGTCGGTCGCGGGTCATAGGTCGTCGTGCTGTCGACGTAATCGGCGCTAAGCTCGTAGTTCGTCATCGCCTGATGATTGTAATAACCCGATCCGCCAGTTCCGGGACCGGGAGAAGCGTATTCACTACCTCCATATGTGTATCTGCACGAAGAAACCCAAACATAGTCAGAGGTATACTTCAGATACATTTCTTGAATTTATATTTTATATTTCACAAGTACATAAAAGTCATTAATGTTTGCATTGGAAATTGCTTATGGCATCGTGTTCGGTTCTTGTTTATTCCCCCAGTGGAAAGACGCACCTTTGTTATGCCACAGAATGTGCCTACAGCAATTCAATATTATCAGTAGAACTCACATATCGACTGATACTTGAATCAACAAATGTGTATTATGAAATAATATTTCAGAGAGAATGTAACAGTCAACAATTCCTGATCAGCTTTTTTCCAAGTCGGTACATTTTCGTAAATTTTATTCTAGAACTTTCGTCGCGTACCATATTTCACTATTCAAAACACAAACATTTCGCGCGAAACTAATATTTATGTAATTTACAGTAAGTAATTAATAGAGTGGAAGAGTAAGGCCTGAAACTATGTTCTTAGACCGGACGTTACCGTAATCATCAATATTAATTAACCTTTCTCCGTATAATTTAACATACATTAAATTTGTTCTCGCTCTACAAACTCGAATATAAACAAGTAAATATAGTTTCCGTAAACGAAGCTTCTTCCCAGTAGCCTCCATCGTCATTTTTAAATTACATACGCAAGGAAAAGCGAACGTACGCGTTTGTACATCCTTCCCGGAGGATTGAAAATGTACAAGGGAAATAAAGATGGGAGCACTTCACGGATAGAATATTCCTCGCACCCTCTTTGTTCCCGCGATGAAATGTACAGCAGCAGATGTAGCGAGACGTCAAGTGTTCCTAGATTTATCTTACCAATAGGATGGCCTCGTGTGTGTTAGCAGTTGTCGATCGCGAATCCTCGAAAGAGCGAGGGTCGCCTCAATCACTTACCCTCCGTTGTAGGGGTGATGTTGATCCGAACTGCTTGGGGTCTGATGTTCAAACACGCTGCTATCGGGCGCCGTCTCGGAGGCCGCTCTCATTTGTGCCCTGTGGAACCTAACTTCGTCCTCGACCTTCTCCCTCTGCTTCTTCGACATGCGTCCGAATTTAACGGCTGAAATAAAAAAATACGATGCTCGATGACACTGGCCAGAGAATATCGTCGATGCACGTGTCATCGAAATCCGCCTAATCTAATCGCGGCGAAGTAATCGCGTTACGACAAACAAAATCGTTATTTGGTAATACTCGTCCGCTCTTCCATCGAATACTCTTCCGCTCAAGTAGACACTCGATCTCTGCTCCTAATTAATTATCTACGCTCGTAATTTCGTTAATCAGCAACTGCTAATTTACCTGATTAATTGACCGCAGTCGAATGCGCGGTTCCCTCGCGAAATGTTATTATACAGTCATCAGTCCCATAAATATTCGTACCCTCTATGTCTATCGAAGAAATTCATCTAAATCAAATGATTGGTTGGATCACCCAAAATTCAATTTTCATTACAACTCTAGATATATGTAAAGTTTATTCGTGTACACGTTTATAATATAATAAAACATTCGTTTGCAAACATCAAACCTGTCATATTATGAAATTTCGACAAATTTCTTCGATTGACCATTTAGTTTTATTATATCCCATGGAATTAAGTTGATAACTACAGTGATATATTCTTGGATTCTACAATCGATCTACCAAATGAATACCATGTTTGGTTTATCGATATTCTAAATTATACATGACGGACCAAACTGAGTTTTAATTTTTACAACTTAAAGTCAGCATAAACACTTCGATTAACATTTCGAATCTATGTACGTTGAATCTATTATAGGGAGAAAGAAAGATCGCTCTTCGAAGGAGTATCGGACCGTACTAGTCAGACGTCTCAGTCAACCCTCCTGTGTCCAAACAATCTTGCTCGTCGCGCTTTCCACATCCTCCTCGCTCGTAACACATTATTTCCACCCAAAGACCATCCCTTCGTTCTACGATGCACCCAATTCACACGATTCAACTTATATCTAGTTCTTCGCAAACTCCACGCGACCAAATAACCGCGTAAACTGAGAACTCAGTTTACTCTGTATCAGAATATCGATTCGAGCGTTTCCGAATATTTCCGTCGTTTCAAAGATCGCCTTATGCATCGTCGGATGAACCGACGGTTGTATCCGGGTCAATCGACGCGGGGGTGGTGGGTGGGGAGCGGTGTATCGATCTGATAAACTTGGGGAAGAGCGAGCCTAATGAAGATCGAAGCACGAGCGTCCTCGTCGCCGGTTTTAAGTGGCTCATCGACGCGCCAAAGAAATGTTCTGATTCGAAGAACGCGGAAGTTCTTTGCATCTCGGGCCTCGTCGTCGTTATCGTCCCGGCTCGGATGCACCCACCCATCGCGGTGACGTCACTGCATCGCGAACACTCTCGTAAGCGAACACGCTGCTAGCTCGCGCGCGCGCGCGCGACACGCTACGTCACGCGAGAGGAGCGTTCAACAACCGCTAGAACCTGAATCGTTCGTCTTCCTTTTTCCCTCCGTCCGTGTTCTCCAGTTTCTCAAGTTCATTCGCGAGTTCAGACGCCGACGCGCCTACCTCGACGAGCCATTGTCAGCGAAACTTCTGATTGTGTCCCCCCCCCACTCCCCCTAAAAAAAAAAGGAAACTTCCTTTCAGAGGAAGTTTAATTCCGCGCGATCTGGATAGTCATCCCACTCGGTATTAATCTTGGAATACTATGGATAGACTGTATTTCTCGCTCATTTTTGTTCTACCTCTGAGGGACGGTAGCACTGCTATTTACGCTTTCTGGGTATCTTCCGATAAGAGAGGACTTATTCAGCGAGTCGGAATTGCTTCAAGTGGTTGTGCTTTCGTTGCTGTTAAAATCTACTTTTGCTTATTTTTCGTGACCTTTTACAAAGTCATATCTGAACGACAACCCGATCCTGGAATATAATACTCAGACTTTGAGAAAAGAAATCTATCGACTCGCGTAGCTCGAGTGTATAACTTCTAATCGAAGTTCAGTAATCCTGTTGGTCAAGTTGGAACAACCATTGTATAGTTTCGCGTCAGATAACCAGCTTTCAATCGAATTAGCGCGAAGACTGCGGCCATTTTCCCAATATCGGGTTTAATATTGATTTAGGAAGGAGGAATCTATCGACCACTTGCGCAACTCCAAAATCCGAGTTTGAGTACCTGTTCAGGAATTCTATGAATCAATTCTTTTCAAATGATTGATTTGCAGAAGGGTATGTTTAAGATGATTTGAAGGCAGGTAGTATCTAACAACCTAGTTTTTGAAGGGTGGATTATTGGGCTAAGGATACAATAAGTCTTTGACATAATGGATCTTCACAACTAAATGTTAAATGATAGATACTGGCTTGCAGCCGTACATTGAATCAGGTGACACTGTTTAGGAAAGGTAGGGACAGGCAAGAATATGAAAGAATGCTAGGTTCTTAACGTTTCACTGCTGGAGAATAGAGACTCTTCTCCGAAAGGATTCAGCCACAGAGTGGAGAATCCGACAATTCTTATTTTCTAAGAGTAGTTCACACAATACCGAGACAAATAAAGATATTAAACGCTACAACGGGAAACTTGTTACTCTATAACCATCCTAGTGGTACCGATATGTCTTAAACAAAAAAATCAGAACCAGCGGTTTACTTGAAAAAGGAGCAGGAGCAGAGACCGTTCCAAAACAGCGAGAAATGCAAAAACCTGGAGGCTAGAGGTCAGAGTGAAATTATGTCCTGCGGCGATCCTCCGTCTCATTCGGCGTCATTCAGCAAAGTAAAAGTATCCCAATCGCCTCTGGAGGATCGATTTCTTAGAAAATCGGTTGAGAATCGAGCACCCTTAATCTCGATCGTTCGTTGCGCAGCGGTGTTATCATGTCCCGTTGCGGGAGGGGGTGTGTTGTCGCGTCGCGAGATAGAGATAGGAACGGTGATGAAGAGAGAGAGCCCAGAGCGAACACGAAGCGGGAAAAAGGGAGAGACACGCGCGACGTCAGCTGCCAGCTGAACCGCTATCGGGATCGCGAGGAGGGAAACGAGAGAGTTGGAAGCTCCGAGCTGGACGAGGAAGGCAGACGCGGAGGGTGATCGACCCAGCGTGGTGTACGAGCGACGAAGAGGGCAGAGGATCTTGAAGAACCGACGGAGAGAGAGGGACGACACAATGGGAGGGATACGTGGAGCGAGCGAGACGACAACAGGAAGAGTATGCGCGCGCCACCGGTAGCACACGATGCACTTTCTGGCGAGCGTGTGCGAGCGAGAAGTGCACGCTGCGCCGAGACGACTAGCTCCTTATCAACGGGCGCAAATACTGCCCGGACGCCAGGTCGTGAGAAGTAACGCGATTATCGTTCAACAAATCTGCGCGGGGAGGATTCGTTCCCTCCTCGCGACTCCCCTCGATTCTTTTCGGCGAACGCAACTGACTGGGCGCACTCGGAAATTTAACCCTTTGCACTCTGAGATACTTTTTTTAAACCGAACGACTGGCAACTTCGTGGCATTTTAAAGGGATATGATTCCGAACACTGTATATACACTATTCGAGAAGTTTGACTAAGTTAAATAATAGTTTTGATATTACCAAATTAATTTTTACATGTATAAATTTATACATACATCAACATATTTATACAAACATACACTTGGAAACATCAATCATTTAACTTAAACAAATTATATGTATGTATATGGTTGGGATGTTCCACATATCAAAGTTTCAATTTAAAAACGTGCAACGTTTAACATGTATTATCAGAGGTTTTCGATTATTTTTGTATGACATGCATGAATACAATCGTCAATCCAGAGGAACTTTACGTTGTTCTCCAACATCAATCTGAAATATATAAGTCTTCTAACGTGAATGAAATTCTACGAATTCGATAAAAAGATATCCGTTTAAAAAAATTGATGTTTGTAGGGGTGTAATTGTTCCCTGGTATTATTCTTTCGGGAGCGCCACTGTCGCCTTTCAGGAATTCGGGGACACCACCGTGGGCCTGCCTCTACGTCGTTGGGATCGAACGAAACCAGGCGTCAATGACCTCCCGGAGAAGCTTCCTACGCGAGCTGTTAGACACTTGGATTTTGAGAGCGTATTTTTATATTTGGCGACGCGCGGGGGTAGGGAACTGCGTGGGAATGTTGACTTTGAGATCAGGCAACTTGACACCGTTCGAGAGGGTTGCGGGCAGTTCTTAGGACTGTTTCCCTCGAGATAAAAAAAATTGTTGAAGTACAAAACATGCAGGATGAATGATAAGTTGTAAAGTTGTTGAGAGAAATGAAGCAGGAGGAAAAAGTATTGTATTTTAAGCATTTTATTTTATGGAGACAAGGTAACAAATTCGAAGGCCTCAAGAGTTCTGAATTCAGTTATCGATCAGTTGCTAATATCAGACGAAATAATAAAAAGGTTCGGAAATATATACTTGCAAATTTTTAAGGATATATTCCTATGAATGCTTCACATAACAGCACATTTCATTTCACCTAACCGTAACTTGTATTAAAATATATAAGTTGTCCTTTAACAGAGATCAATGCGTCGTGGATGAATCGATAGCCGATATCGTTCGTTTCTCACGCACTCGTGAAATGATTCAGTGTCAACGATCCCAGACAGAAGGCGTATTGCGTTACCATTGCGACACCCAGCGCTCCGATCAAAGAAAGTCGTGATTTTGCAGCTGCGATCGCATAAAAGCGACGCATCATGCAGTATTCAAACAAGAAATCGACAGCAAATTATTTCGATAATTTGTTGATGACACGTTGCACATTTCCATATGCGGTGTTTAACGTTTGGATAACGACAGGGGGCGATCATAGATCGCTCGAACGATAAATGATATTTTAAATTGTCCGTCGAAGGAGGAAGCATGTACTCGGATAAGCAGCATCAGATGCAGACAAGACGAGGACTGGATCCTTATCGAAAACTTGCAAACGATGGGTCGTGAGAAGGCGAATTATCGAAGAACCAACCTGCGCGATTAGGGTATTTCGAAACATCGTCCAGCCGATCGAACGAATCTATTTTCTACACGACAGTCTGCTCTTATCG